AAAATAGGAAGAAAAGGTCCAAAGGGGTAGGGGTAGTGGGAGGGGCAGGGGAAAGGAAAGAAAGGAAAGGAAAAATGGTGAGAAATGGAAAAAATGGAAACAAAGTCTTTGTAAGTAGGGAAGGGTGGAGGGGGTGAAGGGAGGGCTAGGAATGGGGGAAAAAAAAGAAAAAAAAAAGAGGGCCTCCAGAAATGGAGAAAATATTTACAAACTATGTGGCATGGATTAATATCCAGAATATATGTGCAACTCAAAAAACCCATGTCCAAATAATCTGAATTAAAAACAAGCAAATGGTCAGAGTAGACATTTCTCAAAAGAAGACAAACGGCCCATGGGTATATATATATATAAAGCTCGACATCACTAATCATCAGGGAAATGTAAATCACTGAGATGTCACCTCACCCCAGGAAGAATGGCTAGTATAAAAATGACAAAGATAATAAATAAATGCTGGCAAGAATGTGGGGAAGGGGAACTGTTCTAAAAACATATTTTGCACTATCCCTCTGCTTATTTACCCGCTGTTACACGCCCTGGAGACAGGGGCTCATACACTCTTTGAGGAATGTGAATTAGTGCAGCCATTATGGAAAACCTGGAAATAAAAACACCACGTGCATTCCTATGTGGCGTGTTAACAAGTGGATCTCACAGAATCTGAAAGCAGAGCCCTGTTACCGGGTGAGGAGGTTGGTTAACACGGGTACTAATTTATGGTCAGACAGAAACAGGAAGTTCTGGCATGCTATTATTGCATAGTAGGATGACTAGGGATATGTATGTGTTTATTTGGTGCTAGGGATTGAACCCAGGGCCTTCACCCTGAGCTACATCCCTAGCTCTTTTTATAATTTTTTCATTTTGATACAGGGTCTCACTAAGTTGCTAAGTTGCCCAGGCTGCTCTTGAACTTGTGAGCCTCCTGGCTCAGTCTCCCAAAGTGCTGGGATTACAGGCATGTGCAATGTGTGTGTGTGTGTGTGTGTGTCTGTCTGTCTGTGTGTGTATATATATATATATGGCAGTATGTGTATATATATACATTTTTTTATTCAGAAAAAAGGATCAAAGTCTTTTAATCATAAAGAAATAATTGATGCTTGAACAGATAGATATACTCAACCTGATTTAAATATTGTACAATGTTTACATATACTGAAGCACCACACAGCATTACATAAATACGTATAATTTTTATAGCTCATGTATCAGTTAAAAATAAATTTAATTTAAAAATAAAGAAACAGCATAAGATCTGCTAATCACACTACTAGGTATTTTGCAAAGAAAATGAAGTCAGATGTTGAAGAGACACCTGCCCTGTTTGTGCGACACTGTTCACAGCAGCCAAGACAGGAAATCACTCTAGTTGACCATTGATCAGTGCAGATAAGGAAAATGTGTCATATACACACAATAGGATCATATTCAGCCATAGAATAGCATAGAATCTGAGGACATTGTGTTACATGAGAAAAGCCAGGCTCCGCCCCACAAAACTGCCCATTAGTTGTCACTAATGTCCAGAAAGCAGGAAAGTTCCTCTCCTAGAGGTAGGGAATGGACTAGAGGGCACAGGAAGCTGGGCGGGGTGGGGTGGGGTGGAGGACTGAGAGGTTGTAAACAGGTACAAAGTTACAGTCAGTTAAGAGGAGAGGGTTCTGGCAGCATTTCAGAGCACTGGGCGGGTTATAGTTAACAGTAATTTATTGAACATTTCAAAAAAGCTGAAAGAGGGGATTTTGAATGTTTTTACCACAAAGAAATGACAAAGTAATGTATATGTTGGTGTTAAGTACTTTAATATGGCTGTGACACATTGTCTACATGGACTGTCATACTGTGCCCAGTGACTATGTGTGGCATGGATATTACTCAATAAAAATAATAAAAATAAAAATGAAAATAGCTACACAGTCTGCTGCTTATAATATACCAATATTATTTTAAATAATAGAGTAAAATCCCAGGTAGCCACTGCCCCAGCAGGAAGCAGATGGTGACCCACGCCATCCCTGCCCGTGACTCCTCCTACCCAGGCAGCTGCCATCTTGAATCTGTGCCTGCCACTCCCCTCCCTCTCCTTTCATTGGTTTGTACTCCTTCAAATAGTTTTGCTTTTACTTATTTGAAATTTTAAAAAGGAATACTATGTATATATTTTTATGGGGCTTGGAGGCAGGATGGCAGAGTCAAGTCAGAGACTGACCCACAGCACTAGTGAGGGGTCTGTGGGAGAGTCTGGAGTGCTCCGTTTCAGTCTGAGGTGCTGAGGCATGATAAACTGAGGTATCCCTTGATAATAAAGAAGAATCTGAAAGATATTAGAGATCTCTTTCAATGGCGAGGGAAAAAAATAAAGATGCAAAGCCACTCTGAAAAACTTAATGGTGAACTCACTCATCTGAGGTGCATGATGGTCCTCCTGAGCTAGTGTCCTCGCCTGAATCATCCATGGGATACCTCAGGGCAGCAGCTGCTGTGCTCCAGGAGAGAGGGTGGGCACACAGGCTCACTGGATTCATTTTCTCACCCCTCTGCAGAGCCCCAGCCCTGGGTGTGTTCCCTGCGATGGCCACCACTGCTTCCCCTGCACTGGTCACCACCGAGGGTGCTGCTGCTGAGAACAGCACCTCCTACTATGACTATGACTACCTGGACTCGGTCTTCCTGGTATGCAGGAAGGATGATGTGCAGTCCTTTCGCCTTGTCTTCCTGCCAGTCTTCTATAGCTTGATCTTCGGGCTGGGCCTGGCAGGGAACCTGCTGTTGTTTGCGGTCTTGCTCTGCTGCGTGCCCCGCCGGCGGATGGCAGAGGTCTACCTGCTGAACCTGACCATCTCCAACCTCCTCTTTGTGGTGACTTTGCCCTTCTGGACCATCTCTGTGGTCTGGCACTGGGTCTTCGGCAGTTTCCTGTGCAAGGTGGTGAGCACCCTCTACACCATCAGCATCTATAGCGGCATCTTCTTCATCAGCTGCATGAGCCTGGACAAGTACCTGGAGATTGTTCACGCTCAGCCCCTGCACAGGCTGAGAACCCAAGCCAAGATCTGGCTTCTCGTTGTCTTGGTGTGGGCCGTGGCGCTGGCTATTTCTGTCCCTGAGACGGTCTTCGTGCGGGTACACGAGGACCCTGAGGGAGTATGGAGCTGCCACCCTGATTTCGGGGGGCCTGGGGCTAACTGGAAGCTCTTCCTCCGCTTCCAGTTGAACCTGCTAGGTTTCCTCCTTCCCCTCTCGGCCATGATCTTTGTCTATGCCCGTATTGGCTGCGTCTTGGTCAGGCTGCAGCCCCGGGGCCAGGGCCGGGCGCTGAGGATGGCAGTGGCCCTGGTGGTGGCCTTCTTCACCTTCTGGTTTCCGTACAATCTCACCTTGTTCCTGTACTCGCTGCTGGACCTGCAGGTCCTCTGGGACTGCCAGATCAGCCGGCGCCTGGACTATGCCATGCAGGTGACTGAGAGCCTGGCCTTCCTCCACTGCTGCTTCACCCCCATCCTCTATGGCTTCTCCAGCCACCGCTTCCGCCAGTACCTGAAGGCTCTGCTGGTCACTGTGCTCCCAGGGCGCCTGGCACCTGGCTTCACCGGGGCCTCGCTGTCCAGGGGATCCAAGAGCAGCAGTCTCACCACTCAAGAGGACATGGCTGGCCTGAACGAACTGGCAGAGGGGCAGGCTGGGGCTCCCTGAGCCGGGCGAGCGTGGGGAGTAACTAAGGCCGGGCCATGCCAGCCTGGCGCAGGAGGAGGATGCCGCTCTGCTCGCTTGGGCTTCCACCCAGAGCGCCCTCCCTCAGGGCCTGGGCGGCCCATTCCAGCCCTCCGTGGCTTCTTCCCCTGCACCGGCCTGCATGGCTGTCGCTGATGGGGCCAGCAGCCAGAGTGAGAGCGGCACTCTTGGCCCGCCCGCTCTCCTCCCGACGACGACGACGCCAGACAGCCCAGGTCGCCTGGTGATCCTTCGAGGGCTCCCGGGACGCCTGCCCCCAGCCGGGCCACATTTCCCTCCTGCCTGCCCTGCTGGGACGCCCTGGGCTCTGCCGCTGTTTCTCGGGTCTGGGCTCATTCCCAGCAGCGCCTCCGTCCTGGCTGCTGCCCCCGGGGAGAGCACGGTCACTCCCTCTCCTCCTGGCATTGGCTCAGTTGTGCCCTCCTCCGTGGATGCCCCGTCCGCCCCACTGAGGCCTGCCTGCTGCCACTGTTGTGTCTCCCCTTCCTCCCTCTGGTCTGCTTCTCCGTAACTCTCATCTTTTTCTCGCCTCGTGTGTGTCTCCCTCTGTCGCTGTCCCCGGCCCCCATCCCAGGCAAGCTCCAGGGCTGGGCACCGCACCTGGGGGCTCTCTCTGCCCTGTGCTTGGGTGGAGGCTGGGCAGAGCCCAGGACAGAGCAGCATGGTGCGGGGTAGGGTTCCCACGTGCCCAGGGAAGCGTCTGGGGCCCGTCCCCAGGGTGGCGCTGGCAGAAGTGGGGCCTGGGAGGCGGTCCTTGGCACGAGGGGCAGACCCTCGGTGGGCACTGTGAGGCTGCAGCCCGTCCCCTTCTTCACGTTTGCTTTCTGGCCTGCGAAGCGAGTGGTTTGCTCCGCCACACGCTGCCCACGCGAGGCTCAGAGCAATGGGTTTAGGCAGGCGGGGACTGGAACCTCCCCCAAACTGAGCACAAATAAAGGTTTTTCTGATTCCAATGGGATTATTTGAGATCCTGGGATCACTACACACACCAACCACAGCCTTCCTCTGCCACACAGCAAAGGTGCGTCTCCAGAGGACACAGGGTCCAGGTGGAGTGGGGACATGCAGGGGCGTGAAGAGAGGTGGGCACCCGAGGCGGGGTGGGGTGGGGGGGACAAGACTCTTCCCCAGGTTTCTAAAGCACTCGCTGCTTCCTTCCAAGTCACAGGACCGCCCAGCACGCTGCCCCTCTGTGACCTCTGACAGGAGAGACTGCACCTGGAGCCTGGGGCCAGGAAAGGATGAGGGAGGCTGGAGGGATGCAGAGGGCAGGGCAGAGGGCCCGAGGGTGGGAGAGCAGATGGCAGGGAGGCGGGCACAGGGGGCTAGGGACGGTGTCACAAGGAAAACCTGCCTCTGCCAACCTTCTCTGCGCAGGAAGCGGTTGATGTCCACTGAGTTCTTTTTGGTTTTTCCTCTTTTAAAATGTTTTTCTCTTCTTTCTTTCTTTCTTTCTTTCTTTCTTTCTTTCTTTCTTTCTTTCTTTCTTTCTTTCTCTCTCTCTCCCTCCCTTCCTTCCCTC